GGGTCCTGGGATCGAGCCCCACATCGGGCTCCCTGCTCAGCGGGAAGCCTGCTTCTCCCTCTCTCACTCCCCCTGCTTGTGTTCCCTCTCTCGCTGTCTCTCTCTCTGTGTCAAATAAATAAATAAAATCTTAAAAAAAAAAAATTAGGATTTTGCCCACCCATTGTATTCAACCAACATGTGCCCAAAGTGTCAGGGCTGCTGAGATCCAAAACGTTGCCCTCCTTGCCCCACTGATTCCTCTGAGAGGCAAGCCCCATCTCCAACCCAGCACCACTCTGAGCTCCCGGAAGCCAACATCACAATGCCCACCCCTGGGGCCTTAGTGCACAGTGTGCACCATGGGGAGTGCCAGAGTCTCCCCAAGAACACTCCAGCTGGAGTTACAGAAACCTGCAGATGGTACACCATCTCTGAGAGCCCCTTCTTGTTTGGTAGAAAAATGTTCAAATGCACAGAACAAGAGAAAGAATATTCCGGTGAACTCCCACAGACCCACCCCCCACCCTCAAGACTAAACAACTCACAGTTTGTCAGTTAAGATCCTTTAGAGATCATAATAACACTGGATACCTCGTAATACCCCTAGATACTTCAGCATGCATCTCCCAAAATGAGAATATCATCCCCAGTATCACGATGCCGTGATGCCAGCTAACAAAAGTAACAATAGTTTCCTAACACTAACTGAATACTCAGTCCGAGTCCCAAATTTCCCTCATGGACCTTCTGAAAGGAGAGTCCCTCCCTTAAATGACACCCTGTCCCGGCCCTGCCCTCTCCCTCCTCCACATGCCAGACACCCGTCCTGCCATCATGGCGGCCCCCTCCTCAAGTACCTGTGCAAAAGCTGCCATCATTGGGAATGAATGTTTTGTTGTTGTTTGTGGCTCGATATCCTTCTAGGCAAACACAGTAAAAGCCTCCGAGCGTGTTGTGGCAAGATGTGTGGTTTCCACAGACCACAGTGGCTCCAAACTGGCACTCGTTTTTATCTGTTGAAACGTTGAGACAGTACACAGAAAGGGCTATCAATCCATACCATGTTCAGCAACCCAGACTGTTCTATGCTATAGACTCGGGAGTTGCTATTCCGTGACAACATCTCAAGGGTCTATTTCCCCAGTCTCTTTTCTTTTCACGATGCTTCTCAGAATGCAGGGCATGGGTCCCTTGTAGTCGTGCGCTAGGTGTATATGAAACCACAAGAGAGGGGCCCCTGGGTGGCTCAGTCAGTTAAGCAGCCAACTCTTGATTTCAGCTCAGTTCATGATCTCAGGGTCAGAAGATCGAGCCCCACGTTGGGCTCTGCGCTGAGCACGAAGTCTGCTGAAGTTTCTCTCTCCCTCCGCGCCCCCCACTGCCCGCACATTCACGCTCGCTATAAAATAAATAAATAAAATCTTAAAAACACACACACACACACACACAAGAGAAACCCAACATCTTAATCTGAACATCATCTTATTTGAAGATTGGGAGAAGGGGATTGCCCATTCCCCCAACAACCGGGTGAATCTGTCATTATATACTATTCCAGCTCTGTCTTCCAAGCTGCATATTGTGATTCTTTTTCAATTTCTCCATATTCAAAAAGATCTTGTGAAAGAAACCAATCCAGCAGCATCCCATTTTTCCAGCTCAGCTGGCCATTCTCTTGCTTTTGTCATGAAAGGCAGACTAGGACGATTTTGCATCCAGTGATTAACCGGAAAATTTGTTACTTCTGAGTTACCAGGAAACACAATGGAATTAGTGCTTAAGCCTCATCCGGGAGCAGAGCTAATATTGTGGCAGGAACAGTTCCTGCTAATCGTCAATGACCCATGTGAATAATATTAGTCACCCAGTGAGAAGGAGCTGAAGTATACGATGCCTGATGAGTCTGCAGAAGCCTGACCTGAGTATTTTTAATTCAGTCATTTGACATAGATGTCAAATGAAAGTAAATCTCCCTCCTGTCTCTGTAGCTCAGGGCTTAGTAAACTTTTTCTGTGAAGGGCCAGTCATAGGTCTCCAGTGGCAAGTGTTCACCCATGCTTTTGGAGCACAAAGCAACCACAGACAATAAGCAAATAAATGAGCAATGTTGTCTTCTAATAAAACTCTATTTACAAAAACAGGCAGTGGCCAAATTTGGCCCGCAGGCCTCTGCTGACTCTGCTCTGGCCTCGACCACCAGAAGAACTCCTGTGACCAATTTCTTATGCATTCTTTCAGAGCTGATCTCTCCTGCTGGTGGTTTTTTGTTTTGTTTTGTTTTGTTTTGTTTGGGGGGGCAGGATAACCAATTTATGAAATGGAGTTTTTCTGATTGTTATTTAATGTTTTACTATAGCATTGGTTTGCCTCTCACAATTGCACTCAATTCCCGCCAACTCAAAAGTACCCTTCTCAAAATCTGGTGTTCCTCCCCCCCCCCATTTTCCTTACAGGTGTTACCTTTTTGGAAATGTAACTGAACATGGAACACACTTCACTGTTAACACTGTCTGGTGAGATCTGCCTGGGAGCTGAGAGAAACAGCCCTCAAGCCACAGCCTGGCCAAGTGTCCAGCCCAGCTTATGAGCACTGCATGGGGCTTTCGGACACAAGTCCTTGGCTGTTATTTCTGAGACAGGGCCTCCCCTGCAGACTTCACCAGAAGGGACAGTGGGTTTGTAGAGAATTCTACATTTCTGAGGTCCCTTGATTGCAGACCACGTTACAGTACGTGGGGCACACAGGTAATGTCACCTGTGACCTGTGGTGTGGTCTCAGAAGGCCACGTACTGGCGTAGGCAGTGTCTAGTGTCCGAGAGCAAGCACCACATAAATCAATAAGCCCCCTCCTCCCATTAAGAGAAGTTCCTCTTCAGAAGTCAAAGAGCAATCAAGAGTGTGGTGAGCTTCCGCAGGAGGGGGACTGCCTTTGGGGAGGGAGCAGAAAAGGTTTGTCCGTGCTCAATTCCAACCTCATTTCCAAGCCCCTGCTAGCAAGCCGTGGGAGGAGAGGGGTTCGAGAAATGCCTCAGGAATCTAGACTGTAGGTAGCCACAATTCTCCTGGGCAGAATCCCAAAGAGAAAGGGTCAGTGGTGGCACAAATCCAGCCCGCAGGAACAGGCGATGGTGTGTGCCTGTGAAAGCTTGTATCTGTGAAGTAGAATATGACTTTTGGAACTGGGAATTTTTATCTTTCTTTGGGAAGAAAAAAAATCCAAAGATATCACAAGGTTGTATACACTGTCAGTGCACAACTGCAAGGCAAACTATCAATATTTGTACTGCACATAACAAGGTTGCCGGGAGGATGCTGTGATTCTCCTAACATTCACTATTATAAACGTGCTGTGAGGTTTTCCCTCTCTCTGAATTGGGCTTGAATCTGGATACTGCCCGACTCTCACGGCACGGAGGAGGCCATGAAGCCAAAAACTAATCTTAGATACCTCCTAAAGGTCTTTGTATTCCTTTAAGGCACCCAAGACCCCAAAGGGCTACAACTACAAAAAATTTTGAGAATGGATTCTGGTAGACATAAGACTCAGAGCAGTACTACCTCACTAATTAGCCAAAAAGTCCAATAGGCAATTGTGTTTTGTTTTTCCTCAGGGTACTAATACAAATCATTTTACATCACAACAACCAAGAGAAATTAAGGAAGGCAATATTCACTCAAGTTGTTAAGTTAAACTCAAGACTTGAAACAGATTTCAAATTTGTGTTGGATCAGAGAATTTCCAGAGATTCAAGTTCAATGTCTCTCTAACACGAAAGATACTTCCTTGGAAACGCTACAGAAAGGCTATATCCAAACACTAAAACAAAGGCGTATTATAACGGACAAAACTTCTTGTAATAAAAACATGTGAACAAAACAACGTTTTCCCCACAAGGACGTTAGCTCTTTAACACTAGGGAATCTCGTTACCTGATGCAACTTTTCAACTTCACCCAGGATTCAGAACTTACCAATACAGTAAGTCCTCCCATTGCCCACAAATCCATATTTGCAAACACACATCTTCATCCCTTCTCTTTGCTTGCAGGTAGCGTGTTCATGGCAAGTGGCACAGACATCTAAACCAGAATCATAAATTGTAGATTAAGGAAAAGAAAAATTCAATCACCTCCTCTAGACAAGTCACATTTTGGGTAGTAGACGTTTACAATGGAGAACCAAAATTTGAATAGCAGAATTATAAAAGGCAGAGCTGATCCCAGCCTTAAAAACCTGCAATGGCTACTCACTGCCCACAGAGTAAAGTACAAAAACCTCTACCAGGCAAGCAAAGCTCTAAACAGTCCCAAATCTAAGCTAAACTCTCCAAGCCTCACTGTTCCCAACCCCAAACCACACACAATATTCTCTAGGGAGGAGGCTGACTACTCCTTCCCACGCATGCTGTCCCCTGTCCTACTTCACACCACAGTCACGATGTGCCCTTCAAGTAGAATGCCTATCCCTCTTTCTCCACCCAGCTAGCACCCATTTCTACTTTAAGACTTACCTTAAACATCACATTCTCCCTGGTATTGTCCCCATTCCTCCATTCTCGTGAAAAATTAAATTCCTCTGTGCTCCACTAACATTTGCACATTCCCATGTCAGCCGTGTAAATTTGTCATTATATACTGTTCCAGCTCTGTCTTCCAAGCTGCAGATTGTGAATGAGCTTCTCCCCACAGGACAGGGATTATGTCATTTGCCCATATATCATCATGGCACAGTATAAACCTTCAAGATACTTTTACTGACCGACTGGATAAAGGAACTTGCAGTCCTATTTGCCACAACTCAAAAAGCAGTGGAAGGGAAAAGAGCTCATCTATTACCCCATCTGTGTTTCTTTTAGGGAAAAAGTGAATGTATTTAAAATGTCAGCAAGATGAACAGCCAGGTCCCAGCAGATGACCAGATCCCAATTACTTCAACAGGCAGCAAAAATGTGTGAGTCCAACACAGACAAACCTACCAGAGGATGACTGATATGTGGCCCAAGGTCAACCAAGGACGTCCACCCGAGGCTACGTGGGCCGCCATGCTGTCCTCTCAGTGGAGGATTTTAGGAGCGGCCCTCGTCAGGAGTCTTTCGGCGTGGAATTCCATCTTGTCTTGGCCCCACAACTACCCAGGTAATAAAGACTCAGCCCTCAGGTTGCTCTAGGCAACTGAGACAGGGAGATTTCCAAGTACAGACAGCCCCTGATTTACAATGGTTCGACTTACAATCTTCCTACTTTACAATGGTGCAAAAGTGATACACATTCAGTAGAAAGCATACTTCAAATTTTGAATATTTGATCTTTCCCCAGACTGGGGATATGCAGTGTGATCCTCCCTCATGAGGCTGGGCAGTGGCAGTGAGCTCCAGCCCCAGCCAGCCACGCGATCACAGGGGCAAACAACCGATAAACTCACAACCGTTCTGTATCCACATGACCATTCTGTTTATCACCTTCAGTAGAGTATTCAATACATCACATGACATAGTCCACACTTTATTATAAAACAGCTGATTTTGCCCAACTGTAGGTGAACATGTGTTTTGTGCACATTTACGGTAGGCTAGGCTAAGCTATAATGTCTCATAGGTTAGGAGTATTAAACGCATTTTCGATTTATGAGATTTCCAAGTTATGATGTAACCCAATTGTAAGTTCGGGAAGATCTGTACTGACTGTTAACCATGCCTGTGTTTTCTTTCTTTTTTTTTTTTTTTTTTTAAGATTTTTATTTATCTATTTGAGAGAGAGAGAGATAGTGAGAGAGAGTAAGAGCAAAGGCAGGGATCAGGGAGAGGGGGAAGCAGGCTTCTCACTGAGCAGGGAGCCCGATGCGGGGCTCGATCCCAAGACCCCGGGATCATGACCTGAGCCGAAGGTAGACACCTAACTGACTGAGCCACCCAGGCATCCCCCTGCTTTTTCTTTTAAAACAAATATAACACAGAAATGAGACAAACCATTGCTTATCCCTAAGTAATACTAAATTAACTGTGGAATATTTACAAAATTTGTTATATCGCAAACCATTAAAAAATGCAACAAAAGTGCAAAAAAAAGTAGAAACTGTAGAAGTCGTACATGACTACCATGTAATAATGTAATAAGACTACAAAATAAAACATAAGACTAGCATTCCCAAAAGAAACCTACTTGGAAACTACAGAACACTCTCCTAAATAATTCTTGGGACAAAGAGGATAGCAGAATTGAAGTGTTTGGGGGCACCCAGCTGGCTCATTCAGTAGAGCATGCAGCTCTTGATCTCGGGGTTGTGAGTTTGAGCCCCACGCTGGGCATGGAAATTACTTAAATAAATTTTTTTTAAATTGAAATGTTTAATACTAGATATAAAACTGTATCCACTCTAGAAAAAGTTTTTCATGTTTTTGTACTTTAAAAGAGAGAAAGAAAAGCAGGCAGCCCAATGGTGGGGGGAAGCCTTAGAATTTTAACACAAGAAATTTGGGGGGAAAAATTCCTTAAAAACAGGCACCTGGGGGGCGTCTGGGTGGCTCAGTCGTTAAGCAGCTGCCTTTGGCTCAGGTCAGGATCCCAGGGTCCTGGGATCGAGCCCCGCATCGGGCTCCCTGCTCCGCATGAAGCCTGCTTCCTCTCTCACTGTCTCTCTGTCAAATAAATGAATAAAATCTTTAAAAAAAAAAAAAAAAAAGAGGTGCCTGGGTGACTCAGTCGGTTAGGCATCTGCCTTCAGCTCAGGTCATGATCCCAGGGTCCTGGGATGGAGCCCCGCATCAGACTCCTTGCTCAGCAGGGAGTCCACTTCTCCCTCTCCCTCTGCCCCTCCAGCCCCCCCGCCCCCCTGCTCAAGTTCGCATGCTCTCTCTCTCTCAAATAGATAAAATCTTTAAAAAAAGAAAGAAAGAAGAAAGGAAGGAAGGGAAGAAAGAAAAAGGAAAGAAAGAAAGAAAGAAAGAAAGAAAGAAAGAAAGAAAGAAAGAAAGAAAAGAAAAGAAAGAGAAAAAGAAAATAGAGGGTTTGCGGGGCTTGGGGGTCAAGAATTAGTAAAGAAACAAAGTATTAGAAATTACATCCAAATTCATTGAAAAAAAAAGTTTCCCCAAAGTCAGTGCATCGTAAAGACCAGTAGTCATGACTCAAGTGTACTGGTTAGAGGAACAAAGAACATATGCAAACACATAACATTAGGAATATGAAAGAGCTTGTAAGAAAAAAATACATAATAGTTTTTTTATTACAGATGAAAGACTTGCAAATAAACATTGCAGATTTAGTACACTCTCAAAGCTCCACCTCCCCCAGTGACATCAAGGACCAGAAACGTATAAACTCTGGCAGACAAAGATGACAGCAGATGAGGATGTCAACAGTATTTCAGAAGATGGAAGAGAATGGACATACGGGAATGGCTTGAGAGGAAGAACTAAAAGCTGGCCCTAAAGGCAGGAATTGAGGCCACTGAGTACTTCAGAAGGCAGGTGTCAGGGACAGGACTCAAAGTTCAAGGAACTAGGTACAAATATGGATAAGGAGTAGGTAGATACCCCATTCCCCTCGTTAACCCTGGCATAAGATGGGAGTTTACAACCTGGAGGAAATGGACCAGAGAGGCCCCTGATTATAGGGGCAACAGGCAGAGCTGAAGTGAGAACGGGTCGCCGTACCTAAATGTCCATCAGTGTGGAGTAAATATATGTAACCATTTTAACATTTTAACACATAACATTTTTATTTTTATTTTTTTTTTTTTTTTTAAGATTTTATTTATTCATCTGAGACACAGAGATACAGAGAGAGAGAGAGCATGAGCAAGGAGAGAGGCAGAGGGAGAGGGAGAAGCAGGCTCCTTGCTGAGCCAGGAGCCCGATGTGGGACTCGATCCCAGGACTCTGGGATCATGACCTGAGCCGAAGGCAGACGCTTAACCGTCTGAGCCACCCAGGCGTCCCAACACATAACATTTTTAAATGGTGCCATAGGACACTATCAATTCATAATCACACACAACCAAAATCCTGGAAATACGCTTTAAATAACGGATCCTGGGTCAAGTCCATAAATCCAGTGTGACCAACCATATAATGACGAACACTCTCCCCAGTGTGTACATATAGTGCAATAACAAAAAATAAATACCATATTTATGAAATCATCCACAAAATGGTAAAATGTTTGATTTTTTTTCTAATATGTAATATCTGTCTTTATCAAGATGGCAGCATTTATATACGTCCAGTTCCAGAAACTTACATCAGATGGAAAAAAAAGGATTATTTCATTCAACTGTTGAGTGAATCTAATAAACACACACACAAAATTAAGAAATAAAGTAGTGCCACCCACTCAGATAAATTAACGGAAGTCCAGTCTGAATTAGTGAAGGACAGAATGTAAAGTTTTTTAAATAAATTGAATTAAGTTCAAGTTCATTCAATAAACAGAACCGAACAAAATAAGGCCTTGTAAGAAGGCATCGAGATACAGGGGGAAAGCAAGCACTGGAGCTGAGTGTCAGAACTAGATCCTAAATCTAGCCGAGTCTAATTCATTGTACGACCTTTAACAAATCACTGAACCTCTCTGGATCCCAATTTTTTCATCTGTAAAACAAGGGATTTGGGCTTCTCAAATTTTAAAGGGCATTCAAGGGCATCTGGGTGGCTCAGGTCATGACCTCAGGGTCATGAGATCTCAGGGTCCTGGGACTGAGCCCCTCATCAAGCCCCACACTCAGCAGAGTCCGCCTGTCTCCCTCTCTCTGCCCCCCCCAACATTCTCTAAGATAAATATGTAAATCTTTAAAAAAAAATTTAAAGGGCATTCAAATCACCTGGGGCTAGTACTAAACCGCAGGCTCTGATTCAGGGTGGGGCCCTGCATTTTGCATTTCTAACAAGCTCCCAGGGGAACCACATTTTAAGCAGCAGGGGTTAAGTGGCCTCCAAAGTCCTTGTCCCCTAATCCGCAGACACTTCATCCTTAGGGTACCTGTTTTAATGACCCACTAAGAATAATTCAGCAAGGTGTAACCCCAGAAGGACAGTATTTGGCATGTTCGGCTCAATAAACGTCTGTTCCCCATACTGGCAAAAAGACAACATGTATGCCAGGCTACCTAAGGCTTCTCACACCACTTGCAGGAGGGAAAGCAGTTTCCAGAGGAAGAAGGGCCTCAACTAAAGCTTCTTACTCACCCATAATTAACCATCTGCAGGGCCTTATATGGCAGCTTCTGAGTTCTAACTGCTTGAGGGACTAAGTAGCCTCTTGTGGGGGCCGGGGGGGGGGGTGGAGGTCCTGGGACAATGACACAACTTATCCTAAGGAAAAGGGCAGGAAGTACAATCCTAATCCAGGAAAAGACAGGGTGGGGAGGGTTGCCTCTAAACACACAACAGTCTCCACCATTCACCAGCCCCTAGCTCAGTTAAGAATCACCTACAGATGGGGTGACTACTTTGTCCCAGTTTTAATACTAAAAGTCCTGTGACCCAGAAAAGCCCTCATTTCGGTGCAAACCAAGACAGCTGGTCACCCTACCTGGAGAGCCTGTTTAAAACAGAATCCCCAGAGATTCTGATTCGGTAGGTGTGGGGTGAGGCCTGAGACTCTGCATTTC